TGCGTGTCCGGAGCCTGTGCTCCGCAACGGGAGAGGCCACAACAGTGAGAGGCCCGCGGAAAAAAAAAAAAAAAAAAAAAAAAAAAAACCCGAGTGATGCCGAGAAAAAGTATCTGGGGAACAGACGCCAGTTATGTCTGGAAGCGCTGACCTACAGGGGACTTTTACCTCTAAATTATATCATTTGACAACTTTCAAAACTGTATTAATAAACAAGCCTTACTTTTGTGACAAGAAAACCAAAGTCCAAATGACAAGAAGATAAGACAAGAAGATAAATGCCAGGTCATAATCCAAACATGGAGATGTTCGAGAGCCCCTCAGAAGCAGCTGCCATGTCTACTCTCTTGGGTCCATCGTCCCCAGTAACAGGATAAGCCCTCATCCCTCTGGCTGCCATGTCTCATGTAGGACCCTCAGACCCTGAGTCTTGGGCTGAAACTCCGACATTTCAGGGCAGAAGGAGCCAAAGCCGCAAGGGCAGGACCCCGCCTTTTGGTTCCAGCTCTGCCACACCGAACTGAGAAAATCCCTCCTCTTCTCTGGGCCTCAGGCTACTCATCTATGAAATGGGGCTACAAAATACCTGTCTGTCCACCTCCAGAGTCTGTTGTGAGACCAGGGACTTTGAAAATAAAATCACAAGCACTAAAGCATCATGCAAGCAGTGGAGAGCCGTCCACCACCCCAAGCACTGTTATCATGACCCATGGGGCGCGTTCCCCTTCTGATGGTGGCCAATTAGGACACACCCACATCAGTGCAGTCACCACAAACACCAAGGGGCCCTGGGCACACCGTCACTTTGCTTGTTAAGACCAGGGAAGCCAGGAGTCCCCCTTCCTGAGACACAGACAAGCACTGAAAAGAGGTGGTACAGACCTGCCTTAGAAAGATGCATTTTCATACTTTGCAAAAAACCTCAACTGACATCACATTTCTGCACAGATCCATAGTGCTGTCCATGGCATTGCCGCCCCCAAATTAGTGCTTACTGGTGAAACAGCCCCCAGGGGACCCTCCTGATGCAAGCAAGCACCCTGCTGAGGACCAGCCACCCACGTGGTGCAGGAGGGGAGCCAAGGGCACAGAGAGGGACAAGGACCAGTGTGAGCCACGTGGACGGGTGGTGGGCCCCGGCCTGGTGCACGTGGCACTGCTTGGTTGGCTGATGGCTCAGATGTGGGTTGCCATCCCGGAGAGGGCGCAGTGGGGACTTACCTCTCTCTCGGGCCCACGTGTAGACGCGGCTGCTCTCAGTACTTCTGGGCTCTTGCTCTGGTGGCTCCGTGGGCAATGGTCGGAAGTGGGGGTGATCGGCCTGGCCGGGGGTCTTCAGGGGCAGGATGTACTTGGGGATCCCTTTGTAGAACCAGGCCCCCGACCTCTTCCAGACCTGGAGGGGGAGACATCTGCTCAGAGCACAGGATGCAGAGCAGTACTCCCCGTACCCTGCTCCCAGCCGGCCCCGCCTCCCAGAAGGCGCTCAAGAGGCCACTGCATTCCTCCGGGCTGCCCCTTCCCCTCGAGACTCTGGGCAGAGTGACAAGAGGTCGGAGGGAGAGCTGGGCTGGCCATGGCCTGGCAGTGACCATGGTCTCGGAGAGCTTCTCGGGATGTGACTATCTCTGTGGGGGGCACAGACGGGCCCCCGGAGTTTAGAGAGAGCCACAGATTAGAATTCAGAGCAGCGAGTGCAATAAGGTTCCTGAACCCTAACGCCTGCTTCAGAAAACGCCAAGTGCTCTGTAACCTCTTTCCTGATGAAGGAAATGTGTTCAGGGTATTTATAAGAAGAGTGGGAGCGTGTGAAGGAAGGAGGTGACCTTTTCTGAGAAGAGGAAGCCTTGGCGGCTCAGAGCAGATGTGTGGGTTTGAATCCTGGATCTGTCATCCCGCAGCCGGGAGATCTGGACGCATCAACCTTCGTGACCCTCAGTTTTATCATCGGTAGGTGGAAGGCAGGAACAGTGCCGGCTCCCAGGACGGCCATGAGGGTCAGGCTTGCAAGTGAATGTAAATTCCCATAGCCTGGTGCCAGGCACAGAGCAGCCACTCGACAGACATGCTGCCCACTATCGTCACTGTCACCCTCCTCCTGTCATCTGACAAACGTGCACAGCTTTACAACCAGGGGACCAAGTCTCCTACTCAAAAGGGACAATTTAAAATCAAAAGGCCAATCATCAAAAAATCTACAAACAACAAATGCTGGAGAGGGTGGAGAAAAGGGAACCCTCTCGCACTGTTGGTGGGAATGTAAATTGATACAGCCACCATGGAGAACAGTATGGAGGTTCCTTAAAAAACTAAAAATAGAACTACCATATGACCCAGCAATCCCACTACTGGGCATATACCCTGAGAAAACCATAATTCAAAAAGAGTCATGTACCACAACGTCCACTGCAGCTCTATTTACAATAGCCAGGACATGGAAGCAACCTAAGTGTCCATCGACAGACGAATGGATAAAGAAGATGTGGCACATATGTACAATGGAATATTACCCAGCCATAAAAGGAAACGAAACCGAGTCATTTGTAGTGAGGTAGATGGACCTAGAGTCTCTCATACAGAGTGAAGTAAGTCAGAAAGTGAAAAATAAATACCGTATGCCAACACATATATATGGAATCTAAAGAAAAAAAATGGGTCTGATGAACCTAGGGGCAGGACAGGAATAAAGACGCAGACGTAGAGAATGGACTTGAGGACACAGGCAGGGGGAAGGGTAAGCTGGGACTAAGTGAGATAGTGGCATGGACTTATATACACTATCAAACGTAAAATAGATAGCTAGCGGGAAGCAGCCGCATAGCACAGGGAGATCAGCTTGGTGCTTTGTGACCACCTAGAGGGCTGGGATAGGGAGGGTGGGAGGGAGGGAGACGCAAGAGGGAAGAGATATGGGAACATATGTATATGTATAACTGATTCACTTTGTTATAAAGCAGAAACTGACACACCATTGTAAAGCAATTATACTCCAATAAAGACGTTAAAAAACCCAAATCAAATCAAATCAAAAGGCCAGAGTCTGCCCTGATTCTCTAGAGGACAGTGTTTCCCACTCCCCAACTCCCCTATACCAACTGGATCTGTGGGCTGTTAGCAGGGACCAAGCCAAAAAAAAAAAAAGAAAGAAAAGAAAAAAGAAGAGTTCTCCATCATGTCCATCAAGAAGCACCAGGTTAAACCAAGCTCTGTTACTGCAGGACTTCTCAGAGCCTTTAATATACCAATGTGCACAGGGCTCTCCAACAGAGCAAAAGGACAGACGGTTCTTCCCACTTGGAACCTACCCAGCAAGTTTTCCTAGAGGAACTCAACCCTAGTAATGGGTCTGCAGAACCTTAACTGTAGCACTTACTGTTCCCTCGTGGAGTGAGGTGTATCTATTTCTCCGAGTACATGGCAGTCACCTCCTTATGCTCCAGAGTGCCAGGCACAGGACCACTGAGTCCAAACACTGTCCTGGGCACGAGTCACTCAGCCCTCCCTCCCAGCTTCTGTGTGCAGAAGGGCCTGCTTTTGTGTGTGGCTCTTGAATAACGTAGAGATGAATGCTTCTTGGAGCCACCTTGGAAAACCCTTTCTGATCCTCTCGCAGCCCTCCTACGACATGTAGTTATTTCTCTGAATCAGTAATACACGCACATGATCTAAAATTCACAAAGTGCGAAATTAAAAAGTCTCCTTTCCCATTCCCAAAGGCATCTGGTGATAGCGGTTCCTTGAGGAAGCTCTATTATTATTCCCACTTTCCAGGTGGGAAAACTGAGGCTCGGACAAGTTAAGCAACTTGCCCAAGGCCAGCCTACCATTCTATTGGCCTCTACTCCACACTGAAGGTTCCCAGAGTCTCATCCCAACAGTCTACAGATGTGAAGTAGGGGCTTGCTAAATTGTGGTTGAGCAGGGGGTAAATCCTCAGCGGGTCAGACATCACCATCATGGATGCTAAGTGTCTAGATGCCTAGAGGGCAGGGAGGTGCCATATAGGGAGAGGAAATAAACACAAACAGCCGCCACCAAGGCTACCCTGTCCTTGCAGAGCTGCTGTGTGGCTCCTGAGACCAGGTGTCCAAGCCCAGGGCCATGGGGGGCTGGTGAGGGGCTCACTCGGCCTCCCTCTGCTAAGCGAAGGCCTAGGCATCCATCGGTGCTGGCTTTGCCTGCCCTCCCCTGGGCATGCCAGCCTCCTGCCCCCAACATGTCTGGGCCTCGGGGGGACCAAGTGAAGCAAGCCCTCGAAAGCCATCTGTGCATGGTGGGGTCTGGGTGGGCTTAGGACCCGCATTGCACTGCCTCTCTGACCCCCACCATGGATGTTGCTTTGCCTTTTTTCGCCTGAGAAATACATACATATCATGCAAAATTAGGACAATAACAAAAAAGCAAAATGAGGAAGGTCACACAGGTAGAGCCCTGCTTAACACTGCATTGTGAATTTTCTTACACCCTTTCCTGGGCATATATACAATTCAGTTTTCCTCCCTCCCTCCCTCCCTCCCTCTTTCCTTCCTTCCTTTTTGGAAGAATAGGGTCATGTAGTTATAGTTATATGATACTTAACTATATATCACAGCAGTTGTACTGTGTGATAATAACGGTACTGTGTGATATATAAGTAACGGCCTCCACATGAAACTATGGTTCTATAGTTTGGATTTATTAAACTTAATTAAATCAACCCCCCCCCCCCACTGATGGGAGTTTAAATTGTTTCCAATTTTTCACTCTTCTGAACAGTGCTGCAAACATCATTGTGGCACACCCATCATCAGACGGCTGTCGGTTACCACCTCAGGAAATATTCCCAGGAGTGAAACTGCCGGGTCAAGGGATATGTATACATAGATGATGACGTATAGTGTACATAGATGATGACGTATATCGTCAGACTGCCCTCAGGAAGAAAAGTCAAATCCCCAGCGGGGCACTAAGTGACTTCAGGGCAGGGACCCCACATTACACTCTCAATTGTGTTAAAATACACACGCTATAAAATTTACCATCATAACCATTTCTAAGTGTACAGTTCAGTATGTTAAGTACATTCACATTGTTGGGTAGCCCATTTCCAGAACTCTTTTAATCTTGTAAAACTGAAACTTTACCCATTAAACAAGTCCCCATGCCTGTCTCCCCCAAACCCTGGTGACCACTGTTCTTTCTGTCTACGAATTAAGTGGAATCATACAGTACTTGCCTTTTTGACGTACATACAGTATTTGTTATTTCACTGACCATAATGTCCTTAAGGTTCATCAACATGTGTCAGAACTTTCTTCCTTTTTTGAGGCTGAAAAATATTCCGTTTTATGTATACACCACATTTTCTTTATCCACTCATTCGCTGATGGACACTGGGTCGCTTCCACCTTTTGGCTGGTCCTTTATTTTTGTCTGTCTCTCCCACCAGAGTCTACCAGCCGGGAGGGAGGCCCAGGGCGTCTCTGCTCACCACTGGATCTTTAAGCTCCTAGCACACGCCTGACACACAGTAGGTGCTCCGTAAACACCGGCTGGATGACTGAATTGGCAGCCGTGGGTTGTTTGCTGGAGCGTGACCCAATCCATATAGTCTGTCGCCTTCCTGGGGAAGTGGCCAGAGGGTTTCACCCAAGTTCTTGTAATTAATCAAGTGGATTTACCACTTCAGATTAGAAGGGGGATAAAGAGGGAGTGCCTAGCAGGGTGTGCCAAGGTGCACATCCCTGACCTTGAACTTCAGGGCGCAAGGCAGCCACGTGCTCCCAGTCTTTCCTCGAGCACCAGTGAGACCCACAGCCCCGGCTGCCCCTGCCCACCCTGGCATATCACAGCCAGCAGGGCCCATGCCATCAGCTTCATTTCCTGTTGTAACGATCTACCTCCACCCCACCACCCACTTAAAAAACACTGATCAGTCAAGTGCTTTTGGAAAACGGGATAAAGAGCACAAGATCCAAAGTATTAGGTTGAATTGCATGAAACTACTGATATTCAACCTTTTGTGTGTGTGTGTGTGTGTGTGTGTGTGTGTGTGTGTGTGTGTGTGTGTTCAACCATTTTGACCTATAAAAACCCCTGTCAGTTTCATACAATTCACCCCGCTATTTATGCGCAGCAGGGGCCATGGCCCCACGGGTCTGCCAGGCGTGCAGCACCTCCCTGGGGTCCAGGAGGCAGGTGAGTTCACTGTACCGGGGCCTTGGTCTGTCTGTTTCTCTCGCGCTGGCGCTGCAGTCTGGGTGGAAGGCCGGACACTGCTGTGATGGGCAGAGACCAGACCAGACTGGCTGGTGATCCCGGACCAGCTGCAGGAGCAGCATTTTCTGAGTCCCCAAGGCAGAGGGACGAGAGCACACAGGTGCGTCACTAGGTATGGGGGGCACACCGTGTAGAGGT